GGGCTTGCGGGCGCGCCGAGCGCCGCGCATGCGCATTGGGAGGAGTAGGCAGTCTGTAACCCCCACATCTTTTCATTAATATTAAGAGGGTCGTACATGTGCCACTCTTTGTGCCGACTACTTATGTGCGTACTCTCATTCGAGGCTGTAGCAACCCTATGTAGAGAATATTGCATACCCATTTTACATATTTGGAAACAGCCTCAGAAATATTAACCTATTTGCCAAGTGTTAGATCTGAGAACGGGAAACCCTGATTCTCCAAGGCCCAGGCTTTCTGGGTCCCTAGGAGGGATTCCACTTAACATTTGTTCCTTCGTTTAGTAATATTTAGGAAGCACCTTCCATGTGAATTAAATGGGCCTCCTCCCTTCCTTCCGAGAAGTCACAGTGGGGGAGGTACTTAATTACAAAGCCGGGGTACAAAGAGAGAGCACATCGTGAGGTCACTTAACCTAGACTTAAGGGACAGAGACTGTGCAGTCAGAGAAGGATGTGTGCAGTCATGTCTAAATGTATGGATACACAAACGTAAGTGCCCATATGGCTGACCACTGAAATCTAGATATGGGGCAGGGGCCACGTCTCTGTTGGTTTTATCAGTTGGCACAGTTTCCTACCGACCGTTATTGTTGAGCGGAGGCACATAAAGAGGTGCCTGAGTAAATCCCCTGAGTTCTAGACGCTCTCCTTGACTTCATCTTGTAAAGCCACGGGATTTTCTCTTGTTCATCCCAACCTGTTATTCCATGTAGGACAGTAACTCCTTCTCTATTGTTTCAGCAAATGAAGATCCCAAAATAGCCAGGGGGTAGACTGAGTTTCCAATTTACCAGAACCATGACTCTGCTCCCTGAGTAATAGGGAACCCTTTGGGTACTAGAATCTCAAACTTCAGTAAACCTAGGGTTGTGTGAATGGAAACAAACATTTCTTAAGTGGATTATTAGATATAATATGGAAGGAACCACTACCACCTACCTGCCTTCCCAGTCTGTAGGCACACACTGCCCATGGTAGAATGACACCCCAACCTCACAGGGTGTGGTCTTTTAGCTGGCATCACAACTGAGTCTTCGGCTGGCTATTCTACTGAGATGGGACATCACTTGTAAAATTCTTAATCTTAGCAGGAAATGAAATGGGACATCTCTTGTAGAGTTAATCGTTTTAGTAACCCCAGTTAAGTTTTCTTCCCTCCTTTGGAAAAAGGCCCTCTCCCTCAAATCTTGATAATTGCCCGGGCTACTCGGATCCCTTGGCTATTGATAAGGGTCATCAGGCCATTGTTAAGCAAAAATGGTGTTAAACCAGGCAGGGCCCTTAGAGTGGGGGGCGGGGATTTAAGCCAAAGGTCTTTCTTTTTACTCTTTAAGAAATATATGAACCAAGCCTGTTTCCCTTTACTCACTTAATAGGCAAATCAATAATAGAAATTAACAGATGTATGATTTAAATAACGAGTTCGTATTTTCTTTTCCTTGTCTAGGGACTGAGGTGGCACTTCAGAAGGAAACCCGAGACCCCACCCTGACTGAGGCAGGAAGGGAAAGACAATTTCTTGTTTAGATATATAAGGAAAAGAATTAATTCTATTCAACTTTTAGTAATACAAAATAGAGGCTATGAACAAATTCCACATAAAGAATCAAGGATTTGATTTTCCGTTAAGTCCAGTGGGGAATGTGCTGGCTGAAAAATTACTGCTTGGCTATCGCCCACGGGAATATAACGTTCTAACAATAAGCTTTCTGCTTCTGTTCCCTGCTTGCGCAACCAACCTGTGGGTTGACAGTTAGTAAAAAGAAGAAAAATAGACTTGTGCGTTCAAACAGGATGAAGAATAGGGGTTTAGGGCTTAAAAACCCTATACCTCTACATTTCGGGGCTGCTTAATTTGGGGTCTGCGTACCCCTGGCAGACCCAGCTGGCTGAATAAAGAGTGTGTTTCCTATAACTCACTGGTTTCTGGTGGTCCGTGTGGCTGTCGGGGGCTGGCGGCTACAACACTCTAAGAAAAGCAACCACCCACAGCAGCAAAAAAGAAAAACCCTGAAGTCTTTGTTACCAGGCCTTTTGAGCCACGCTTCTCTTGCTCAGGCCCACTTCTACTTCTGGAAGTGTACTTTCTTTTCTAATAAAACTTTTCTACTGTATTTCGGTGTCTTGCTCAATTCTTTGTTCGAGACATCAAGAACCTGGACGACGCGCCAGGAGAGGACCCCGCTCTCCGGTAGCACTACCACCTGTCTGGGTAATACGGCATATGATAAGGACGGTGAAGTCCAAGGACATGAGCCCATTGTCAAACTTCTTCCACTTTAATGTAATTTTTTGGTCAGAGGGAATTGCTACGGACACCTGGGTAACTCTATTAAAAATGGCAACCTCCACGCTTTCTCACATCGCCTACCCCCTTCCCTGTTTTATATTTGTATATAACATTTATCACCTTCCAATAGACCATATAATGTCCCCTCCTGACTAGAACATAAGCTCCATGAAGAGAGGATTTTTGTCTGTGTTGTTCACTCTGTGTTCCCATTACCTAGAATAATGGAAACTTGATGCTCGAAGAACTGAACTCTGGACCTCTGTTCCTGGCCACCCGAATGGGCTGGAGTGGGCTGCTGTCCACTTGCCCAGTTTGTTTTCACTGCTTTATTACCTGGGTTTTATTGAGAACCACAGACAAGTGTCGTTGGAGAATAGCCTGGATTTGTGCCAGAGAGCTCGACCTGTGTGTGACTCAGTAATGCACCCACGTGTCCCAGCTCACCTTGAGCTCAGCATGAGCTCACATGCCGGTGATGGTGTGTAGTGTAAGCAGAATGCTCGGGAGCTTCGATCATCACTTCAGACTTCCTCCAGGTGACTGGCCTGAGGCCAATGCCAGAAAGAAGAGTTTTCCTTCCTCCTTTCAACATTAGAGCAGAGCCATCATTTGTAAGTGCTGAGAACAGTCCTCAAGTATTCTCATGTGCGGCGTTCAGAGATGAGCAATCCTCCCACAGGCAAATTCCTCAATAAACTCATCGGATAAATGGCATGGAGGAAGGAACTCAGGGCTGGAGCGAAAAGGTGGTGGAGTGCACCTTGTGGGAGGCAAAGCAGTAGGAGGGAGGGCAGGACACGGTGAACACTGAAATCAGACGGGCATGTTCAGGTTCAAATCCTGGCTCCGATTCTCACAAGGTGTGTGACCTTAGGTAAGTCACCTAACCTCTCTGAGTATGTTTCCTCAATAATAACCGAGGCTAAAATAACTGTCCTCTTGAGAACGCTACGAAGACCGAACGAGTGAGAGAAAGCGCTTCTAGAGCAGCAGAGCGAGAATCTCCCCAAACCGTTCGTCCATAAAAGCAGAGAGAACACGGACGAAAACGATCAAAACCAACTTCTTCAGAATTCTGGAAATTCACTAAAGGCTTGCAACAATCTGAGAAGCATTTTCCAAGGAGAACAGCTAAAGCTCAATAAAAACAGTGAGCTTGGTGGCCTTTTAATTTGCCCTGATCCCATCGCTCTCTTCGAGATCCACGGTCGCCTTGAAAACCAGCAGACTTGCAACTGTGAGAGATACGAAAACAAGCAGCCTATCAGCCACCGGAAGGGGTGAAACAGGCTTGGGATCTCCCAAAACCTCCCTCCACAGAGAATAGTCACTATCTGACCCGTCTGTCAGTTTGCTGAAAAATGCCTTTCTCAAAATATGTCTTTATTTCACCTAAGAGTTTGCCAGTATCTGTGTGGGTAGCCCTACTCCGAAGACATTGGTCCGAAACAATCAGCAGAAATGTGTGATATGGCAATTGCCTGAGGCAACCTTACCAGTTGGGGCTAACAAGAGACCGATTAAAAAACAAAAAAATACTTAAAAGGACTAACTGGGGAATGAGATTCCATAGAGGCTTTGAAAGGTTCCCGGCATATTCCTGAGAATCCAAGGGGCTGTGTGTATGTGCAGGACGGTGCGCATGCCCAAGAAAGACCTGAGAAGACCCTACGATCTCACCTCTGGCTGACTTTGAGGCCCTGAGTAGGAAGCGAGGCCTGAGCGGAGTTGAAAGATGCCTGCTGGAGTGTTGAAACATAGCCGATAGGCGCAGAGAACCCTTGGGAAAAGGCTGGCAGACCGATCGATTCAGGGAATTTAAAGACATCTCAGTCCAATTATTAGCTGACCCTTAAGATAACTGAGCAATGACTTCAGTGTTTACACATGACAAAGAATACAGACTTTATAGAATTAGTCCAGAAAAGTCACTAAACAAGCAAAAAATAGGAACATCAAACCCCAGGGTGGGAAGGAGAATCTGATTTCCGGAGCTGTTATATTATTTTAAATGTCAAGTTTTCAACAGAAAACTATGAGACACACAAAGAAACAAGGAAGCATGATTTCAAA